AGTTGTACAAGGTTGGAACAGAAGCAAAAATGCCGTGCTAATTGCACAACTGGGCTTTGTAGCTGTTAACCACTAGCAAATCGATTTAAACCTAAATGCAAAAGTTTGAAGAATGGAGGATTTTTTTGTACATGTGCAGCAAAAGCTTTAAAGTGTCACAAGCTTGTTTAACAATTTTCCTTGACTCTATCAAAGATTATTAGTCACTTGTTTTAAAAAGTTGTATACATTGTATACATGCTGCTAGAATATGCATTGACGTCCTCTCAGTAATTTGTTATGTTTTGTTTCTCAAAAGTTGTTACAAGTCTAAATCTGAGCATTTTTTTCCTAAAATATTGACGTAATTGGGTAAAGCTCAAAAGATCTTTCCAACTCAAAGAGGTTTTAGTCATCTTAAGGGTTAGACTGCTTTAGTTTATATTGAGATTATCATGACCTTTGGCAGTTGTAGACTGAAAGAAATTCAAGAGTGACTTCCAGCCACTGTGGAGAGTTGTTACATTTTGTGTGTCGTGTGGCTCGTAGTCCAGTCAGTTAAAGTAATGATTGCAGAATGCCAGAAGGAATGTTTTTAATACTACTAATAGCATCCATCTTGAATCTTCATTATCTTTGGTAGACCAAGTTCGAGTAGACTATAATAGTGAATCAGAGATTCTGAATGCAAATAAAGGTCCTGGTGGCATAGGTTAAGTTTGTGGTTGATTTAGTTGGTTTGTTGTTGACCTAAATTATAAGGAAATAATAGAAAAATAAGACAAAACTTTAAACTGCTCCCTATTTAGCTATGAGAGCAGAAGCGTTTAATATTGGAGAGGGTTTTTTGGCCTATTACAAAACAAACTAGAGAGACAATAAGTGAGATACCTGTACAGCATATTCCTTCTCCATGAGATGTCAAAAATCCTGCGTTTAATCAGCCTGGAACGGATCCACAGAAATCTTTGTTTATTTCTTCTTGAGGCTTGTTATCTTTGATGTTCAAAGTATGTTATGACTTTAACACTAGTTGTTAGACTTACTGGATTTGATACTTGGCCTTTATTATGGTTTTCTATGAAGGTTTCTCTACAAGTCATTTTGCAATTAACTCTTCATGTAAAAGCAAATGGCACAATAAACGTGACCTACTTTGCAATGTTTCAAAAGAAAATCCAATTTCTAGTAAGCACTGTTCATTAAATATTATTTGCCATTCCTTTTAACTGAATTTAAAGAATCAAGTAGTACTCAGTGTAAAAGAGGTGGGATTCTTTTTCTTCTCTTTCTAGAGAGGAAAATCTTCTCAATCTAGAACCTCTTAGATCTGTAATTTTTTTATTATTATTATTATTTTAGGGTTTTTTACATTTGAAGTTAACATTATAAATAAAAGGTTTTTGTGCTGAGGTTTGTATCATCTTCTGCCTATTGTATCACATACCATCACAGAAATTTTCAAATGCCCAGATCAGCTGATCTTCATTTTGACTTAACTGTTTTCCTAACCTGTCCCAAAGCTAGTAGTACTTTTTGACTGCTGTTTCTATCTCAGTGACCAGTTGGTGTGGGATTTTTTTGCTTGTGTGCCCTTGTAATTGTTTCTGAAGGTGTCTTGTAACTTTTTTCTCTCATTTTTTCCCATGGGATTAGAATTTACTACACCTTGCAATATGTTCCAGGATTTTCCAATTTGTCAATCTTGAATGTTGGGGATTTTTTTTACCTCAATATTTTTACTTTGTCTTTCCTGTCTTAAAACTACTGTATCAGCTTGTTTTATTGATATTTAACAAACATGAGTTTGTTAGTTTGGGTTGGCAGTGTGCTTTTGAAGTCTGTCTCCCATGTATTCTCACTTCTCCATGCTTTGGTTCGTGTTGCAGAGGAGTCTTGGTGTGAGTGAATTTGATTCCTTCTCGATCAAAACAGACTGGAAGAGATGCTGCAGGAGTGCACCAAACATATTCCACTTAACTAACAGGCGACCAGTCCCTGGCATGAGGTGTTTCAGTCACAGCTAACTCTAGTTAGAAATGCATACAGTATGTATGTTCAGCCCTCAGGACCAGCTTTTTTGTTTTACAAATGCACTTCTCTCTGGCTGCATTACTTGCTGATGCAGATGTGGCCTGTGAACTTTGCTATATGAATGCTGAGCTGAAGCCACTGGTAGTTATTTAAAGTGTTCTTTTTGTTCACAGCCAATTTGTCACTAAGAAAGGAGAACTTTGGTCCAGTTTGGCACATATTTTAGTTATCTTTTTTTTTCTTTTTTTTCCCGCAGGAGGTTTTTGTCTTAGTATTTCAGATTTTGTGTATGCAAGTGTGGATGTTTATTGCTGTAGTTGCTTGCTATCAAATATGTGCACTTTGTTCAAAATATGTGTGAATATGTAGTATTTTTGTGGTGATATTTCTCATCCATTTTCTGACGCTATACAGTAATGCCTGTTGTAATTTCTCTTCTCATGTCTTCTGTATTCAAAAAAATTATAAATACTTTGTGATTTACAGATATGAATGCTACTTTTGATATTTAGTGTTTACCCTGCATGTCTTCTTTCTCATTTCTACCATCTAGATTTGGCCTCAGTATAGAAAACTAGCAGATTCAGTTTATAAGGTTGGTTTGAGTTTTACATCTATTAGATTAAGTCAACAAAGCAATTTGCGATTTATCACAGTAAAAAATATTTTTATTTGAATTCCTTACTCTGAAGTTGAAAAAGCTTGAAATCCCCTTATGTGTAAGAATACGGACATTGCATTCCTTAAAACCATCCTAAAATTCAATCCAAGTCCAGACTACTGCACTAAACAAGCAGATGTTTGCCCATGGGTTAGTAAGTATGAGTAGCATATTCTGTTGTGAGCTGGATGGATTAGGTCAACTAATACTACTTCTTGCTCCAAGGGACAATCAGCTATACCTAATGATGATGAGCGTCTAATCTGTTCTTTAAAAACATCTAGGGATGGATGTTCCAGTGCTTAACTGTCCTTAAGAATGCAAAAGGCTTTTTTTCACATATATTTAGCCTAAATTTCCTGTTTCTCAAATTTATTAATACTTTCCATTTCTACTGCAGCATGGAGAGTAGTTTATTCTTTTCTTTTACAGCAGTGACTGGAAGTCTGGTGTCTTAGTTGCCTTCTCTTTGGAGTATGCAACCCCAAATCTCAATCTTTCTACATAGATCATAATTTATTTAGATCTTGCTGTTCCTGAGAATTCCTTTAGTTTGTTGCGTTTCTTGCGTGATGGTGTCTGAAAGTTGACAAAGAAGGTTTTAATGGAAATATTTGGCAGTATGTGAAGTCTCTGAAGTGGATATATTACAGCAGGAAAGATTACTTCTGATGTTTGTACATCTTACTTATTCATGTGGTGTATATAAGCATGACGCTAGCTCTTAGGACAATGTGTTATAATTTTAACATTGGAATCTTATCCGAAGTTCATAGCTGTTTCTATATACCTGCTGCTACCTAGCTACTCATTTCCCACCTTTTGCTGTTGTAACTGATAATATGAAACTTTGCACTTGCTGTTGTTACACTGAACAGTGATCTGCTTGTATGATGCATGTTTTAAGGGGGAAAAAAAACCCTATATCTGATTTAAATAACTGAGTATTCCTTCTTCTGTAAAAATGACTCTTAGCTACAAGGTTAGAAAAACTGGAAGCTTTTACGTCATCTTTGTCTATGCTATTTATCGCGAGTAAAAGAATGACTGTTTTTAGACATGTAAATTCATAAATTTTTATTGACATGTAATATACTGTTACAGTTGTTACTGTGCAGATACTTTGGAGATTTTTCTAAAACTTTTGATGACTTTAAAGGAGTATTCAGTTGCTGTTTTGACTTTCATGGCAAAAGAATGTGCTGTTGTAAACTTTCAGAGCAAGATAGCATGGTATCTTTGCGTTTTTAATAACCTTGTATTCTTCTTACGTTTCAGATGCTGGCATCACCATCAACATCAGGTCAGCTGTCTCAGTTTGGGGCAAGTTTATACGGGCAACAAAGTAAGAATTCTTTTTATTTATGATATGTTTATTTTATGCTACGTATGTTCTCGTTTCATGCTCTTTGGCTATAGAACATGCATATGGCTTTGTTTTCAGATGATCGTAAAAAAGGACAGTATGTCTTCTTACTTGTGTGATTTTTATAACTTTTTTGAAGATATGTTTTTGCTTTGCTTCGTATGCGTTTTTGCAGTGTTTAGTATGCTAAGTGTCATATATTGACACTGTATAGCTGTTAAATATCCAAATATAATCATCCTTTAAAGAATGTCTCTGAAGGAAAGTGAGCTGGGCCAAAATGAGCCTAGTTCAGAAAAATATGTAAAGAATAGAAGGAAATTATAACTGATATTTCATGCTCTACAGGAGCAAATTAAATCTTGTGTACATGCTTGGCAACTCGCATTTGGCAAAGAACTATGCCAGAAAGATTATTGCCTTCTGCACCACTGTTTTTTTCTTTCCCATACCTCGAAGATTTTTTCTGTGTCTGCCAGTCTTGTGTATACTGTTGCAGTAGAAGACCTGTAGAGCAATAGTCACAGTGTGTGATGCGAGCCATCTAACTTAAGGGCCAGCATTGAGAACGGAACCTCCTTGTAGTTGAGAGGTGCATCCATAAAGTGACTCAGAATATCTGAGTTAGATACAGTTACACAAGTACAACAAGTTTGTGAACAGCTCTCTTTTATCACTGTACGCTTTTGAATGTTTGAAACTTTCTTGCTAAGTACATCTGACTCCGATTGTAAGAAAAAGTATCTTCAGAGTACTTTTTAGAGAGTGTGGACTTTTTTATCTGGACAAACTAAAAGCTTTGTCTGCTAGGTGCATGGCCTTCACAACTTCTTTCAGCTTTCTTCAAATAATTTTAAAAATACAATGATTACTTTGCTATCTCAGTGGCTCTTGATGAGTGATCATGTAATATAACCTGGCATTTGGTTATGCTACTGAGATTTATATGAACAGTTTCTGGCCGGTCTGAGAGTCATGTTTGGCTCTCGATTTTTTGGGTCCTGCATCTGGCACTATTGAACCTTTCAGATTTAACTGTATAAAGATACTGAAGTAGTTTATTAATTCTATTTATCACAATTATTTGTTGTTTATTTTTAAGGTTAAATTTTCATCAACTTAGTTGATCATTCATTTGGCTGTGGTGCCTAGGGCGTAATCTCTCTAACATGGAGACATGCATGGCCAAAAAACTAGAAAGTGAATATTATCTGCGTTTGGTTTCTACCAAATATTGAGAAAAAGGGGCGAGAAACTTCTGTGTTAAAGTCAATGCTTTGAGGAAGATCAAAGCTGATAGTGCCTGTGCATTTTTAGATTGTAGCTGTCAGTCATTTAGCAAGATGTCATGTTATAAAGTTAATGTAACTTAAACATAACTGTTAGGCAGAAGTTGGCCACCTCATTTGATCAACCTCCAACATAGCCCATGCAGATTGTTTAACTCAGTTTAAAAAGTGGAAAAAGGAATCATAAGGAAAAAAGATATTTTTTTTTCCTTATGGTGAATATTTCAACTGCCCCTACTTCCCAGCCACAGGAATATACTTCTACTTCACTGTAACAGCCCTATTCATTAAAAATTCTAGTTTACAGAAAGCCAATAACAAGAAATAACCATCAGTGTAAAACTGGCTTTGCTGAAACAAATGCTTGCATAAAATTAACCTGAATGTTGTAATTATGTTTTTCAGTGTACTGTATGTAGTTTGAAAGTGTATGTATTTTTCTTTACTATTTTTAAAACTCCACCTAATTGTTAATCAGCATGAAATATTATTTATAATGTATATTTATGCTCATAGAAATTATTCTGATGCAGCAAATTGCCAAAATATTTATAGTGAACATCTTGATATAATCAGCGTTTAATGAAGTCTTAGGATGCTTATTATAGCGGATCACACTACCTCTTAATCTGAATGTATAGAGATAAATTTGAGTGTTATCAAAACTTTGAATGTGATTGCAAACTTCTTGAGTTGCAAGTTGTAGGGTAGGACACAGACAGCAGCAGTTTTTAAAGTGTGAGAGCTAACCGACTGGGAGGTTTCTTCAGACCTTGTCCATGATAATAACCTGAGCATATACCGTATCCGTTCTTTACATTCGTAGCATTTAATCATGTTATACACTGGCATATTTAGCTCTTCTGCAGGAGTCATCTACCATGGGAGAGTGCTGATTCATCATAACTTTTCTTTTGTTTGGTCTGCAAGATAAGGCTTTGAGTTCTCTTAGTCTACTTCAGCGACCTTATGCCAATAGGGACCGATACTTACAGCTATCTCATTGTATGTGCTACGTTTCTATTGATATGTTGCACTAAAGGACTTTTTCTTGTCTTTGAACATCCTTCCAAAACTTCATAAGCACGGAAAAGCAATGTCAGAATGATGAGAAACTTCATAAAGTTTCTGGATGTTTTGAGACGGGGCAGCAACTGGTTGTCTTTTGCTGTTCTGAGTTAAGAGTGATTTTTTTTTTACCTCACTGAAATGCTTACTATATTCTGTCACACCCAACTGTTTGTGTAGAAAATACTTTCCATCACAATGTTAAAAATCTTCTGTATATTTTTAAATGCTAACAGAGGGCAGTTAAAATTCTGCTTGCTTTCTTTTCTCAAAAGATTGAACTTGACTTGATTGTGGACACTGAAGTTTCATTATCAAAAAGAGGCAACTTAAACTGCACAGAGAACTGGCCTAAAAAGTTGTTTCTGTTGTCCTAAACGCAATATATTGTTAACTAAATATTCATAGTTTTATTTTTTTGTTAAAGATTTGCTTAGTTTTTAACAAGGCAGATCAGTGTTCTAAATACTGGCCAAATAAATACCAGTTCTATTCAAAAGCAGTTACTGTATTTCTTGAGTACAGCTACTAATTTTCTCAAAATCCTGCGTTTTTTGAGGTAATATGTAGATTTCCATGTCCTTATCAAAACCTCAAAACAAAAACCTTTATAGTATGCATCTCAAAGGAAACAAAATTTTTAGTGACTCAAATACAGAAATTCCATAAAGAGCCTTTCTAAAGTTTAACAGAGATGGGGCTAAATTTGAGATAATTTGGCTTCTACTACTCAAACAAGGACTTAGTTTTTACAGTGCACTTTCCTTCAGTCTTTACACTTTTTTGTGGGTTGTCAGCATAAATTGTTTCCATCTACACCTGATGGAGAAGACTTTGTTCCTGATTGCTCTATATCTCCACCCCTCTGAATTTTTTTTCAATAGGTGCACTAGGCCTTCCAATGAGGGGAATGAGCAACAATACCCCTCAGTTAAATCGCAGCTTATCACAAGGCACTCAGTTACCGAGCCACGTAACGCCAACAACAGGGGTACCAACAATGTCACTTCACACGCCTCCATCTCCGAGCAGGTATTTATTGACAGCCAATATTTCTGCAATTGTGTCTTTCTGCAGAGCACTTGTTAAATGTTCTGCATGTTTTGTACAGTCTGATTAATTAAAAAAAAAAAAAAAAAAAAAAAAGAAGAAAAAAAAGAAAAGTAGTTTCTATTGACCACTGCCTATGTTAGGGAAGTCATACTGTAAAACAGTAAGATCAGACTTACTGTAAGACAGTATCTGATTTTTGTATGTAAAGGGCAAATTGCTGGCCAACTCTGCTTCCGAGTGTAAGAGGCTGTTTTTTGACTGTTCTAGTAAATGTACAGTTGAAATTTTTGTGTGGATGTCATACACCATGTAAGAATATTAAGGTAGTAGGTCTGAAGCGCTCATTAAAAAAAGAGCTGTAACACCTCTTCAAATGCATAATACTTAAGTATTTATCTAAACCTGACTGAGGACTTGATTAGTATGTAATGGGTCATCTGGTGTTTCTGAAGAAATCCAAAACTACGTTAATTATAGAGAGTAATCCAAACATGCTGTATTGATGCTAAGCACAAATTAAGTTGTAACAGCTCAGAGTCTGTCCTATGTTAGTAATCTAGATGAGTAACCAAATACTACTGTACAGATTCATCTCTGTGGATGGTTTTTCTCTTTCAGGGGGATATTGCCTATGAATCCTAGGAATATGATGAACCACTCCCAGGTTGGTCAGGGCATTGGAATTCCCAGCAGGACAAACAGCATGAGCAGTTCAGGGTTAGGCAGCCCAAACAGAAGCTCTCCAAGCATAATATGTATGCCAAAGCAGCAACCCTCTCGACAACCTTTTACTGTGAACAGGTAAGGCTGTTTAGTTGGACCATCCATGTACAGCCATGGACATGCTTAAATGCTGCTCTGGGAAATCTAATTTCTGTCCATTAGAGTAAAGCTCAAAAGCTGCTTCGTGTGTTCTCGTCTCCTGGCAATAAATGTTGAAGCTGTTTTTACTATTCACATAAGCTTTTTGAAGCCTTTAAGCTAAATTCTGTTTCTGACTATTGAATTTCTACTGCTGCTACTTTAAAATATGTGATGTTTCTCATATGTTCCCAAGTTTGTTTTTGAAACATATCTTGATTTTCGGGTGTATGCTTACATTTTAAGACTGTTCATCTACGAGTTTGGGAAGAAGTAAGGCAAGATTTAAAAACACAATAGTTATTCGGAAGAATAGTTAACTGATTCAGACACAGTAGGGACCTAGTATTACTTCTTTAAATTCTGAAATAATACAGAGAACAGTGGTTTGCCATTTGTTTAATGATTTGGTGCTCATTTGGATGCCAAAAGCTTTTCAATCACTTCTACTCTATTTCTAACTCTGGGCAAGATTCTAACATCATAAATCATTAGGCTTTAACTGTGTTTTGATGCTGTGTTTATGTGTAGTTCATACCGATAAACTTGTAATAAAAAGTGTGTGAATTCTATTTAATGTGTGTAGTTACAGCTTTGCCTAGCTGACTGCTTTCCAGGCTTCCTTCCACAACCTCACGATCTCTGTGCTCCCAGTTTCATCCTTTTTCTCCCTTCAGGCCCTTCTTCAGGGGACTGAGTCTTACACAGAGCACAAACAAGCTCATGGTAGCGATGTGCCACCTCTAACCTAGTCTAATATTTTACAAAATGGATAAAGGAAGGTGAAAACTAATGTTACGGTTATCTGAAACTTGGTCAAGCTATTTAGTTCTGTAGTTTCATACTATGATATAAACATAAAAATGCTTTTCTCAATCCCAGCAATAGAGATTTGGTAGTAACAGTTTATGTTCTTGTATCTTCCCTCTGATTACATAGAATTTGCCTTTTCTTTCCTGTGATTATAGCAGCAAGTAAGAGATGGTGATTTGAAAAGATAATTTTATATTTAAAGTGTTTTTTAAACTTGAGAATCAAAAAAGATTGAAATAGTAATATACTTTAAAACTCTACACCCAGAGGACAATGATTTTTGGTGATTGATATAGATATAGAAAGTACTTGTATAAATATTGTTCAGCAGTAGAGTAGATAATGAAATCCCTGTCTGTAGAAGCATTTGAATTAAAATCCTCATCTTTTACTGTTTGCATTGTATATCTCATTTTCAAGAAGCTACAACTTTTACAAGTTGAGAAGGAAATACCACTGGAACAATGACAAGTTCTTATTCCACAGTTCCCTAGCCCACAGTAGTAGTAGTACATATCCAATTGTTAATTGATATATGCAACAAAATTTTAAAATTATACTTGGGGAAAAAAAACCCACAGAGGATGTTTCCTTGACAGGTACAGGAATTATGTGACTTCCAAGAAGTGTTTTCTGAATGGTTGCCTTAGTTAGAGCAATGAAAGTTTTTTAAGGTTTTGAACATAAAAAATACTTCACTTTGCCTTTTGCCTTTCTTAGTTACATTGGTGAAACAGGTTACAAATAATTGTAGGGAAGTACACGTTTTGTGGCCTAATCCCTTTCTTATCCCTGAAATTCTTAACATGGTTATTTCTAATTATTTTAAAAACAAACAAAAAAAACCTTGCGTGAGAAATACTGTCTGTCATCAGGCTAGAATAGATGCTCTCAAGATGGAGTTGTCTCCTGTTGGTGCTCTCACCAGGTCTTAGAATTCACAGATGATAGCAGGAAAAAAAAATAGGAGGAATGTGTTTCCTCAGATGTGTGAGATGTCAAAGATCTGGATGTCTTTCATATACACCACCTTGGGGAAGCAAAGCAGGACAGGACTAGTCTTGGCTAAATGTTCCCTTTCTTGATGTCTCGATCCAAAATGAAGCATTTCTGGCTATTTCAAAACGGAATGAAATGCTTCAGATTTTTAACTGTGGAAAAGTCCGTGTAGGTAAAATTTCCATTAGGAAAATGCTTGACATATTTATTTATGGAAACTTCTAAAACATAAACTTACATCCTGTTACAGGAGAAAAATGAATGTTGTAATTTTCCAGAGGGCAGAAATTCAGAATTTCACTCAGCTGGGGCCTACCTTTGGCCTTCTCAACATCTCCAGCTTGCACAGAATGAAGCGGATCATTCCTGAGGGTGTCTTTTCGACCACAGTAGTCCTCTGTGATATTTAGATGTCTTCAAACATTTTTGCCTGACTATATGAAACTTTAATTTAGCTGGTGTCCTTGTGTGGCAGAGACCATCCTTATGCTCATAATAGGTACCGTATGTCCATGGCGATGGTTGCGCACTGTAACTGCTCAGCTTATAACTGGGTCATGACAGACTGGATCGCTTCCATGATTGAGCTTGCCACCTGAAAATGAATGGGTTGCCGACTGACTTTTCACCATTGCATTTACTACTACTACTACTACTTCATTTTTCTATATGAAATTATTGAGTAATGATCACATTTGACATAACTTGTTGGTTGACAGATGTCTTGAGACACATTGGCTGTTAAAAAACTAAGTTATTCTGAAGTAAATCCAGTGGTCTTGATTGAGCAGCTGCTGAGAGTTTTCACAAGTATAAAGGAAATAATTAAAAACTGCGTTTAGGCGAAGGTGGGTTGCTTAGGATTGAAATAATTTAACTGCCTTAGGGGTTTTTTTTCCCCTTAATGCTTTCCACTGGAAGTTACAAAGTATGTATACCCTTTTGTCTGACTTCCTGGATTTTTTTCACAGTATGTCTGGATTTGGGATGAACAGAAATCAGGCATTTGGAATGAATAACTCCTTATCAAGTAACATTTTTAATGGAACAGGTGAGTTTAGTCTGATTCACGTTGATCTTAAACTACAGTAGAGAGATTTTTTGACTAAGTCTAATTGAATATAGTTTGTTCTGTTAGAGTGCAACTTTGTTAAAATTTTCAGTTGTTTCATAGAAATGCTGCTTCAAGAGCGATGGTATGAAACTGTTACTACTTCATACTGGTGGATTTTAATACTTTTGAAGACAAAGTGAAAGTATTCTGTAGAATAGTCACTGTACCTCACATGACTATAGATTATACCTAGTTGGTTAGAAATGCAAGTTAGCTTATGTAATTGAAAAGAGGATCAGAGAAGAAAAGATATATCTATTTTCTGTGAAAATATTATATAAGGTAAAAACAGCAAGAAAGTGTTTTTTGAAATCTCAAATTCCTTTTAAACAGCTGATGTATAATGTGATCCTTTCAATCAGTTGTTTCAGTTTTAATTTTTCTCTGGGCATGACTTCTTCACCTGAATTTAATGAACTAGAAAAGGGGAAATATCCTTGTGCATAAATGCCTTAGGTTTGTCCATGGTGACGCTTCCGTAGGTGGCTGTGTACATGAAGCAACTTGAGGTGCTGATGATATCACAGAGGGTAGTATTTTTTACTGCAAATTGAAAAATATTCCCATGTAACTTGTACTGCATTGGCTCTACAGCTGCTTCAGCTTTATCTTACCTTACCTAAGGACAAAAGAGCTCCTAGATGCTGCTGCTAATATGGGTTATTATCTTCTCTCAAATTTCTTCTTGATATAACTCCTGAAATGTTAAACAGACTAGCTATCCTAGTACTGTAATTTTGATAGCCTGCCTGCGTTTTACGTGTGCAGTCTTTAATCAAAAATGAGTAGGCCTTGTTACTAAATACTGCTGACTAGCTATCGTTTAAAAACAAACCCCAAACATCTTGATGCTCTTTAGGCTAGTCTCATAACACACAGGCTGTAGTTATTTGTAATAATAATTATAGTAAGAGTAAAAAGATCAACTAGAAGAAAGAAAATACATCCTAAATTTATCTTGCACATAATGATGTCTTTGAGTACTTAAGGGAATTTAAAATATCTGCTTTTATTGTAGATGGAAGTGAAAATGTGACAGGACTGGACCTCTCAGATTTTCCAGCACTAGCAGACAGAAACAGAAGGGAAGGAAGTGGCAATCCAACTCCATTAATAAACCCTTTAGCTGGAAGGGCACCCTACGGTAAGACTATAGTTTTGAAAGCTCTTTGAACGAAAAAGGTATTTGCTTGATTAACCTTTTACTGTTCATAAGACAATAGGCAGTCTTTTCAAACATGCCAGACACTTGAGCTCCTGAGTCTCATTTTTGAAAATAAATAATCAATATCTCTGTAACGGGAGATTCCTCTCAGGCTTTTGTAAGTATTAGAACTCATCTGTTTTATTTTCTCCATCGATAGGGAGTTCTCAGTCTGTATAGTGTGATTACTCTGAAGCTGCGCACTCTAGGCATTTCTTAGGAAATAAGTTGCTTTCTAGTTGCCTGTACACAGGAGCTGTCAAGGTCTGAGTAGTAAATTTTAGAAATAATATTTGATTACTAGAGATGTTATTGTGTAAAAAGTCAACAGCTGTAAAGATACTGCATATTTTCACTGTTTATTGGTAGTACTTGCTCTAGTATTGTTCACTGTCACTCTTAGGCTGAACATCAGATTTCAAAAAGTAACCTGTAAGCATCAACTATTATCAATCAGATTCCAAGTCTGTCTTAGATAATTCTTACTAAACAGCTTAAATAATAATAAAGGGAAAAACTTTAAGGTGGATACAAATCTTATTATTTAGGTCTGGATAAAATGCAGGCAAGCTTAGTGTGAAGCACAATACTCTTTTTTTGTTATTGCTTTAGTAGATTTTGTCATGCATGTTGCATCAGCTACTCTGAAAAGTTGCTTTTATAACCTAAAGTTATTCTTGCGACACTTGTCAAATTTCCAGCCAAAAATACTATAAAAACTATAAAAACCTGGTGTTTTTCAGAGATATCTCTAACTGTAATTGGAAAGAAATAATAGATAGCGCATATCAGGAGAAAGTAACCTCGTGGACTGGGCGTAACCAGGGCCCTCTGCTTAAGATAGCTGTGAGAAACAGCTAAACAAGTTCAACTCAAGTGCTCCTAAGCACAGGGAAACATCACTTCCCTGAATAAAGGCACTGAAAAGTCACACTGAGAGTGGAAAGCTAATATGGCTTGTGGTTTGTATGAGATATGGTCTGTCTCTGGAAAAGAAGCTATTACATGGAAAATTTATAGAAGGTAGGAGGGAAATCCACACAGATGTACTTCCAGAATGAAGCTGGAGCTCAACATTCAGCAGCACTGCTGCATAAAATGTCTGTAATTGCTCCTGTGCTTACACCATTTCCCTGTTTTGGTGCTAGCATAGCTGTGCGCACGACTGTATAGTCAACCAGCAAGGAAATTTCTCTGTCTGAAGAGTTATCTTGAGCATCTGCACAAATGCAGGGGATGAGTATGGTGATAGAAACAATCAAGAAATAAGGATATAAGATGTGCTGGACGCTATCTCCAGCAACAAAAAGAGGAGAGCACTTTTGGTTGTGGTCAAGAAAAAGAAGGTTTGAAACTGAGCAGAGGCATACTTTCCATGCTTAGCTTATTTAGGAAAATTGGACTTCAAACAATTTTTAGATAGAGCAAGAATATGCAACACAGTTAATTCATTATCAGTTTTATTCATCCACTGGAAGAAATCGTAATAACTGTGGATGAAAAGGGTGAACAGCAGAAACAAGATTAACTCAGTGCTTTTTTTTCTTAAATAAAAGAACTGTGATCTCTAGCTCAGAATGCTAGAGAAAGTCATATATTGTCAGCTACTGAACTATACAGCTCTTAAGAATCTTTGAAAAATAAGCCCTAGACTGCTTCTATCTTCTCTTCCTCTAGTGCATTGTTGTTTGCAAGCAAATCACTGTATTACCTCTCTCTCAGCAAAGAGTACTTGCCCTTGGGTGCGTGATGTGGGGGCTTTTCTTTGGGTTTTTTTTTGTTGGGTTGGGTTGGTTTGTTGTTTTTTTTTTTTTTTAACTGGCATTAAAAAAAAAAAGAATGTTGCTTTTCAGTAGTCGGAATCTATGTTCCAATGTGACTGGCCTACTTTTTTTAAATTAGGGTCAGAGCACTGAGAGTTGCAGGCTAAATGCTTTCAGTTTTCATACTGAAAGTAGGAGTCGTTCTTATGTCACAGGCAAGTATTTCATTGGTGATATGTTCTGTTGCAAGTTAGCTGGGCATCCTTTAAGAATATGTGCTTCTAAAAAGATTATGCTAAGAAGTTCTTCATGCAATTAGGGGATGGAGGAAAAATGTATTATAATCTTAAAAGCAGTACATCCTTCATCAGTGGATTTCCTTAAATACCGCTTTAATAATGCCTGTAAAGATCATTTGATTATTTAGATGTGCAAAACAGGTGCTGTTCCTGGTAAAAGTACTGGGCTTCATTCTTAAAGCAGTGGATGTGTCTATGAATTTAACCCGGAGTGTTTCTCAGCTCACATTTAAATAAGAGGCTTAAGTCTAATATGTGTGGATGTTTTAAATGAATATGCTTTGTTTTGGTTTACCTGTTTTTTTGAAAGTCATTTCTGCTGTACAGCTTGCACATAGTGAAAATGGACAGTAAGCAAGATCAGCAGCAGAAAATTCTTTACTTAGCAGTCATTTAATGTTATTCCTGCTTTCGTTTTGATGATAGTTGGAATGGTAACAAAACCAGCAAGTGAGCAGTCCCAGGACTTTTCAATACACAATGAAGATTTTCCAGCATTACCAGGCTCCAGCTACAAAGACCCAACATCGAGTAATGATGACAATAAATCTGTAAGTAAACCTTAAATCTTCTTTTATTTCTAGTGTTTGTACTTATTTTGATGACTATATTTTAAAACAGGCAGTGACTATATTTGTAATAGAAGATTTTCAAATTTTGCCCTCTAAATTGGGAAATTTTGCATAGGCAACATTTCATATGTAACTGCATAAATAGAATTTCTCAGAAAGTATTTGGTCCCAACAGTCACTGCAATCTTGCTTTCTTAATTTCATGACTTCTGTGTGTCCTTTTGTATTTGGGGGATGGGTCAGGGAGGAGCTTGCAAGAACACCTCAAAATTTATTTTTGAGAATTGATACATATTTTTCAAGTTTTGCAATAATTTTTTCCACCAATTCCAGCTCATTTTTTGCTGTTGATGCCTCTCATCAGTACTTGTAATTTACACATTGTAACATGTTTCTTCAAAGCTGTCAAATCCTTTGAAAGTGAGGTGGTACAATATCACTTCAAGGTAAAATTCTTGATGGGGAAATGAAATCACAGGGAACAAGCTCTTATGATAGAGACCATGGTGTTCATGGATGTGTTGTAGACTAGTGGGATACATTGTATCTTAAATATTGTAGTAATTATCTTGTATTAAATATCTACCTTAGTTCTTAAGATTATGGACTTTTTTATTGTTTACTCTGAAAGATTTGTAATAAAAATTACTTTTTTACTCCAAATGAAAGGTGAATAAGATTTGAATGGCAGAGAACAGTTTCCTAGTGTTTGATAGAATATTCTTGTTTGTGATTGGTTTATTACTTGTAATTGCAAAAAGTATCTTAATCAGGGTGGTATAAATACTCATGAGTAGGTAGTAGATGTGACTGCAAACTCGAGTGAAAACTGAAAGAATGCAACTGGTCAAAAAAAGGACGAGGGGAAAGCCTGGTCCCCAAATGTTGTGGCTATGTTTATCATGTGGAAAATGTTCTGATACAGTTAGTATTGAATACAGTAAGGAAGGAGGGGAGTAAATGTGATTACATTGTGTTACTGCAGACTTGGTTTAAAGAATAATACAGAGTAAGAAATAATAGTTAAGGAAGGTGTCTTTTGTCAATGTAAGAGCTCCTGGAGCACAGTCACAGTTTTCTTGCCAGACAGAGCGTTTACATCTCTTTCCTGATAATTGCAAATGTGCCAACTCTATGTTGCTTGCACCTGAAATTGGCTTGAGTTATTATTTGTTGCTATGTCCTGGAGTGTTGTGCAGGAGCAAGACTGTATGGAAAAAATACACGATGTGATGATTCCGACAAGTCACAGACTCCTGGGATATCCATTGTGTATTCAAACACTAGTGTAAAATATTTTCTTATCCTTTTAGACTGCAAGCTGTTGGCTCATTAATATCTCTTATTGTGTGACAGGTATACTTTATTTAGGAAGTGGTAAATATTACATGAGATTTGTCTGCAGAGCTCAAGAGCTTCAACAGGGTTTCATTTTAGTGACTAATTTATTAGAGTGACTTGATATACTTGAAAGATACTTGACTGAAAGATATGGTCAACAAGTTTATCCATTTTGGTTTGTTTCTCTCATACCAACTCTGCAAATTATTTTTAATAGAATTTGAGTACATCAGGCAAAACATCATCCAGCACAGATGGGCCCAAGTTTCCTGGAGATAAAAGTTCAACTACGCAAAACAACAACCAGCAGAAAAAAGGGATCCAGGTGTTACCTGATGGTATGTGTCATTCCACTTTTTCTCCTTTAAAAGTTTTGACAGTCATTTAGATCGCTTTGTTGTTTCCTCCACTTCCTGAAAGGAGAAAATTAATTTTTTCTTCTTGCTCAGGTCGGGTTACCAACATTCCTCAAGGGATGGTGACGGACCAGTTTGGAATGATTGGCTTGTTAACATTCATCAGGGCAGCAGAGACAGATCCAGGAATGGTACATCTTGCATTAGGAAGTGATTTAACAACACTAGGTCTCAATCTCAACTCTCCTGAGTAAGTTTCTGGTTTTTAGTACTATCTTCAGTTTTGGTTTTATTATGCTGTCATTCATAATAGTAGTCATGTGAGCTAAATGAGCCTATCAAACCCACAAGATATTTTGCCAAATAAAATTTGAAAATGTAATGACAATAAAATAAAATTTTCTTAAACAAGGGAATTGTGCTTCAAGACATACTGAGATCTTGTTATGCAAGCTTTCAATAAACCTAAAGGCTTTGCTTATTCTCCTAACTTCTTTAGGACTTTCTTCAAGGATTTGACAGTGTAATGTTAGTAAATTTCATGGATATGTTATTTTTCAAATAATAATATTCCTTGAGGATAGCTACACTTAACTCTCAGCAATTTGGGGGGTAAATTCAATTTCTATTAGTGTAATAATGAACAGAGCATCTGTAGTATCACCCAGCATCAAAGATTAATTTAAATGAAAATGTAATTTTATAGTTAACTTCTAGTCATTCAGTTCACCTAAGTTTAGTCATCTAGGCTTCCTAGAGGAAGTGGTGAGAAAAGCAGTTAGCGACTGCACTAATGGCAAGATAAATGCTTAAGATAGATGAGATTAATCACCAGCCCAGGGTGCCTCTCTTTCTCCACTAGTTACAGAAGGAACCTAGATCAGTTTGCACAAAAACGCTTGTCTTCTAGGGGGCTCTAATTGTGAGAGAAATTTAATTTCTGGTACTCTGACTGTCAGCTGAGAATCTCCCACCATTTTGTTTCAGCAGAGATTTACATAGTGTTAGCCTTGTCGACAGAGCAGTATATGTATTTTAAGATTTGCACATAATATGTTGACAAAACAAAAGACCAAACAGCACGCATGCACACAGTTTCACAGAGCTGCACTCTGAATGGATGAGTTGAGGGAAGACTGATGAATGTGGAAAGCATAGGAAAAATAGCTCCTGATTTTTCTGTCTTGAAGTAACTGACATTAATTTACGTATTTCTTTCTAAAGATGTAACTTTTACAAATTGCCTCTTCTGGAAGTTCTTTCTATAGACCTTGCATCAAAACTTAGTCAAATTGTTAGGCTATTGGCACTTCTGAAATATTTCAAAACATCCAGAGTCAATTGTCTGTAGTTATTTTCAGAATGCGTTACATTAACATAGTATCTTCTTCACGTGTAGTGTTAGTCTCACAGGTCACTTCTCTATTGAAGCCAGTAGTTTCCCCGCTCCCATCCCCTTCTTCTGGAACATAAAGAGAATGCAAATATAATGCATAAAGAACAGTTGTACTGGCTAAGGGGTTGCTGCTTTTGCTTGGTAGTCCCAGAGCTTACAGCGTTCCCTGGGAGGCTGGTCTCCCGGATCTACAGAATACTTAAGTAATTTGCTGTTCTCAGTGTGGATTGCTCAAACTTAATTTGAGTCTAATCAGCTGAAAGTAGAATGCCTTTGCTTATTGAAATAATTTCAAGTACATCTGTATCTGAATTATTGAGTTGTTCCTAGACACAGGTGGAATCTGGTTATGTTGTTTGGTTGTACAGCTATTTTCTCTAGGTGTTAGCATGCAGAATAGTAGTAGTGATGCTACTTTTGGTGGTTTCATATTTTATTCAATGTTATTCATTAATTTTAATGACTAACTTCAAGTTTAAGTTTAACATACCTGTTGGAAAGATTCACATAGTACCTCATTGCAGAGGAGTACCAAACAATACTCTGATGCTGTGATGACTTGTAGCTGTGTTATGCAGCTCCTGAACACTGCATCCAGATTATTGTGTGTTTGTACATGAATAGTATATATACCTGACATGCTGCTGCTTTTCCTTAGCAACTATGCTGTAAATAGCTGGATTTTTAGCATTTTATTACTGTATATAGGGTTGTTAGGGTCACAGATGGAGGGGATAGGGTTAATATTTAATCCAGACAGTTCTGTATCATAAAATTGGTTTGATTTTATACTACAGAAAAGCTTTGCAAACAGCCTGCGCAGTCCTCAGTGTTTGGCCTGCCATCTTGCCTTATGTTAAACATACGTTGCTTGCTTTATGAACTGTTGTTTGAAAAACTAAAAGCATTTCACCCATGTAAAGTCGAAATTTTCTGCCATATGAGGTACTTCTGATGGTAAAAATACCTGTCTGACTTAAACAGCACAATAAGTGTGCTTTTAGAAACAAAAGTTAAGAATTCTGCATGTATCTCTAATGGTGTGAATTAACCCTTCTGCCTCCTGGTTTCGTATAGATTTTCTGTGCAGGTAGGTTAATTTATTTTGGGGGTTGAAAGAATTATTATGTATTGCCTGTACAATCCTGTAGTTCTTTGTTAAGAAATATGCCTTTAATTCCTTAGGATAACTTAAAATTCTACATAAATAAAAATGAAAAAAAGGCATTACTTCGTTTAGTTCATGACAGATTATGTAGCTGTTTGTGCACTTTCTGAAGCTTTCTGAAATACTAATCAGATGTACGGTAGGCTGTCCAATACCTCCTTGAAAAATGTTAAATTAGTAGTTTTGTTTATATCATAGAGGCAGCACTGCACAAACTCTTCAGTTTTTATTGCATACAGAGGTGCAGTCTGAGTCCGTAAAATCCTGGATTCTTTGCCCTAGGAAGCCAAACCTCTAGGGCACATGTGA